ACCCGCTTCAGCTTCGTGACGAACAGTAGCTTCCAGTTCTCAGGAGTTTCTACTTCTAGCTTCCACGGTTCTTCCCAGTTCACCATCGCAAACTGAGTCTCACTGTTTGCAGCAGGAGTATGTTAACCAGCAAAAACTTCAATCTGAAGCTACATTCATCTATGGTTACGAGTGACTAGAAGAGAAATCTTCTGTGATGACTCAGTCCTCAACTGCCATGGAATATGAATCTGCTGAAAGTGCTGATGATACTTGTAAAGTGGAGAACAAGGTGGTTCCTGCAATCTCTATAGCTGCTGAATATTCAGCAGCACCTACTAGTATGGGAAAGCTGGTTACATCTGCGGCCATTGTGGATAAAACTCAAAGTTATGAGGTAGGTGCAGCTAATTTGACAGACTTTGCTCACTAGAAAATCATTAGTTATGGACAAGTAGATGAACCTCAAACTACCTCGTATACTGTTGCATTAGTTATGGAGATTAAGAAGTCAGGAAGGATAGGAAGGATCATTCTGTTTATGGAAGAGGTCCATACTCTAATCGGTTATGGCCCGGATGGGAGAGGAATCAAGGGTTCGGGACTTGGCTTTGCTAATCTGTTAAGGCCATCCCTGGGGTTTCAGCTTATAAGGGTTCATGAACCGAGCCAGGAGGATGCTGCCCAGATATTGCCAGGGCTGCGTGAGAAAGATGAGTATCATAAGTGTAAATATACTTGTGAGGTAATAACAGCTGCTGTGCAACTTTCAGCTACATACAATCCTGATAGATATCTTCCAAACACAGCCATTGATCTTATTGATGAGGCTGGGTTAACGAAGTCTATCTTGAAGCCTGGTTTTAAAGTTGACCAGCTTTTGGTTCGGGATGTGAAAGGCTGCAATTTGGTATTATCTGCAATTCGGGACTCTTCTAATTCTGGACTGAGATGGGCTGATGAGTTTGTTCTCGAATACCATTTGTGTAGAATCAGTGTGGGCCTGGACTCTACTACATACAGACTACTCAGGTTGTTGTAATTGATGTCTCCAACAGATAGCATATCATGGATTTATTTTTAAAGCCACGAATTGATAGTGGTATCATAATTGATGGATGGAAAGTGGCTCGATGGACTGCACACTTTTTATGGAGCTGTTCAACGAGCAATCTATTTCTATAATTCTCCTATGATGCAGTCCAAACAGGAGATTGATCAAAGTGGGTAGCTTGCTTGAGGACCTCTTGGCTATGCCCAAATTTGTAATCAATGAGGTTTTTCAACCGTTAGTTAGGGATTTTTTAAAGAGGTGGATTGATCAAACAGTTGAAGTTTGTACGGGTGTTCTTGAAACGGTTAAAGCTGGTTTGCTCTGTGATTCATTTAGAGTTGAAACTCCTCAGATTATTTCTGCCTTATGTGAGAGACTACTGAATTATGATGATGTTTGTAAGCAAGTTGTTGTTGTTCTCTGTTATGTAGCATGAGCATGCTGTGCCTTATCCTCCATAGATTTTGAAGGAATCAAGCTCGTTGCTGAGAGTCTTAGAGACCAATATCTACTGGTAAGAAAATATACATTGGAGAGGCTAGCTGAGGGATACCAAAATTATTGTTTGGCCTGTTCCAATGGCTTGCATACAAGTTTTGAGTATGATTGGATCCCTGGGAAGAGGTTGATGTGTTATTATAATTGGGAATTCAGATCAGATGCTTTTAAACTTGTTCAAGGTCTTAACAAAGTTGAGGTCAATTCTCTTGAAAAAAGGTTGGAACAAAAGCAAAGGATACAACAGGAGATGCAGATGCTGCCATCCTGGTAGATTCTTACTTGTACAACACCATGGAGCATCATACCACCATGTCATTTCTTCTGTTTCTTCCTGTTGTGAAATACATGTGGAAGAAGTTTCAAGAAGTGAAGGTCCTAGCCCAGAAATCAAAGAGGTACTAGGAAGGGAGAGGCGCAAGGATGAAGCTGGATGGCCTGACTGTTTCTTACTCCCCACCTTGAGGGCAAGGTGGTTGTCAAAGGGGGAGTAATCATAGAGACCTAGATAGTACTAGTAATAAGAACAATATTTGTCTTTTAATATTGTACAATAAAAGGGGTTTAGGCCCTGAATAAAATAGAAGTGGGCTAGCCCAAATGTAAAAGAATAAATAGGAGTTGGGGGGAGTAGAATAGAGCAGGCAGAAATTAATCTGGACTTGGGAATGCTGAGACTACTCGAAATGTCTCGATCTATTTCTTCTCTTTCTTTCAGTTGCAGCCATTGTTATCCTGTTGAAAACTTTATCAATAAAATACTTATTTCTACTGTTTTTCTGGAGGGTTCTAACAAAAGAGCTTTTTCCTATCCCACTTAAAATATTTGGTTGCACTTGTTTTGTTAGTGACATTAATCCTCATCTTACAAAGTTAGATCCCTAATCATTAAAATGTATTTTATTGGGTTATTCTCGAGTTCAAAAGGGGTATGGATGTTTTTATCCAATCGTCTAAGCACATGTCGGTATCTTGTTTCTATTGATTCAAGGATAATGATGAAATACTCATTTACACAGTTACCATACCCAACTCCACCTTCTTTAAGTATATCACATGTTACCGCTCCCTACCCCAGGCCTCAGGTACACATGGTTTATACTTTATACCCATCGACACAAAGCATCAAATCACCTTCCAGTTGCAATTACGTATTCCGATCCTGATACAACTTTGATCTCATGTCTTGACCCAATACCTGCATCTTTAGATCCCGTTTCTACATTAGATCTTGATCTCCTGATAGCACTACGTAAAGGAACACGGTATCGTGTTCATCTTGTTTCTTCCTTTGTGTCGTATAATCATTTATCCCCTGCTTAATGTTCTTTTATTGCTTCCCTTGATTCTATTTCTGTTCCAAAATCTATCAAAGAAGGATTATCTCATCTTGAATGGCGTCATGTCATGGTAGAGGAAATGAATGCTTTGGATCTTATTGGTACTTGAGATTTGGTAGACTTACCTATAGGAAAGAAGTCTATTGAATTTAAGTGGGTCTTTGTTGTCAAGGTTCATTTGTCAGGTTACTTATTTCACTTGCCGCAACTCATGGTTGGCACTTACATAGTTAGACATTAAAATGCTTTCTTGCATGGTGACCTTCAGGAGAAAGTTTATATCGAGCAGTCTCCGAGATTTATTGCTCAAGGAAGTATGGGAAAGTTGTCGACTTCACACGTGTCTTTATGGTCTGAAACAAAGTCCCCGTGCATATTTTGAGAAATTTTGTCAATCAATTAAACGGTTTGGAATGATAAAAGGTTAATCAGATCACTCTGTCTTTTACATACGAATGAAAGCAGGAATCACATTGCTCGTAGTGTATGTCGATGATATTGTGATTTCGGGGAGCGATAATGCAAGTATTTTGGCCCTTGAGAATTTTCTTCGCATTCAATTCCAGACGAAAGATTGGCTCAGTGAAATGCTTTTTGGGGATTGAGGTAACACAAAGTAAATATGTAATTGTGTACTTGACTTGCTAGCTGAAACAAGAAAATCTGGGGCAAAACAGAGCAATACGCCCATGGTTCCTAATGTGCAACTCACTCTCAAAGGCATGCCATTTAAAGATATAAAAGATTGGTTGGAAAGCTTAATTATCTTGCAGTTACCCGTTTAGATATTGCGTACTCAGTGAGTGTAGTGAGTCAATATATGTCATCTCTATAGTTGATCATTGGAATGCTCTAAAACATATATTATGTTACTTCAAGGGAACATCGAGACGAGGTATCATTTATCAAAATCGTGATCACATGAGAATAAAATGCTTTGCAGATATTGGTTGGGTTGGATCTAAAGATGATAGAAGATCTACATCTGGCTATTGCGTCTTTGTTGGTGGTAATTTCGTCTCCTGGAAAAGTACGAAGCAGATTGTGATTTCTCATTCTAGTGCTGACACAATCGGCATGTGAGATAATCTGGATAAACTATTTATTGAGTGAAGTCAGATTGAAGACACTAATGTCTGCTAAGCTGTGGTCTGATAACCAAGTTGCTATACACATTGCCAACAATTCACTGTTTCATGAGAGAATTAAACATATTGAGGTCGATTGTCATTTTATTCGAGAAAAGATACAAAAAGGATTGATATCTACAAGATATGTGAAGACTAGAGAACAATTTAGGGATTTGTTCACTAAAGCACTAAGTGGAATTCGAGTTGGTTATTTATGTAACAAGTTGGGTATGATAAATATCTATCCTCCAACTTGAGGAGTGTAAAATATACTACGTATTTGAGTATACTTTAGAATATGCTTTACAATTTTTTAGGAATATACTCTAGGATATTATTATTGTATAGAATCTTACAGGAACATTCTATCTCCCTAATGTATATTTATATATAGGGATATGACCCTCACCCTCCAATGAAAACTATAGAAAATCATTTCTCCTCCAACATACTTTCTGTTTCAACATGGTGACTGTTCGTTTGATTCCCTACACCGGTGGTGAAGCTGGAATCCCTCAATATCGCCACAACGCCCCCTATATATAAAGTGGAGTACAGACAGTAATCTTATGAAAATAAGAGACTATACATTTTATATTTCCCCTCTTAATAGAAAGTATAAACAAATATAATGGACCACTTGGAAGATCTATCTAGCAGATATGAATGAGGTTTAAAGTGATCACTAGAGATGTAAATATTTATAACAAGGGTCATGCTTAGCGTGCAAAAGCACCGTACATGGTAAAAGAAGATTTATTTGACTTATCTCTCTTCACGAAGATATTGTTTAAGCCTTACATACATCACCTAGTGGTGTTTAATGGCTGAGCACTTGATCACTATACCAAGACCAGCCTTCTTGTGGAAATAAGCGATAAAAAGATTAGATTAATTTCACATAGAAACATAAATTTTGGTAAATTTGTTCTCGATTTGGTCTTTATTTCAGGTTCTAGAACTATGAACTCATATTTTGTTTTGGCTCTCATTTTTCAGGTTAAGGATACCATTCAAGTAGATCATAATGTCTCACGACACTTGGGTTATGAACTTAACCGGACTGATTGGAAACTTCTGGTACCTAATTATCAATTCATATTTGACGAAATTCACAAGAATAATCCATACTTTTATGGATTCATAATAATAATCCTTACTTAGAGTGTCCATATAAATAATCTGTACTAGCAATAATGTCCACAAGAATAAATTGAAATGAATTCAAACTCATGCCCATTTTGTACTATCATACCTCCACTTTCCCTTTCATCACTCTTCGTCTCGGTTAACACTTTTATGTTCCAACCTAGAGAAAATCACATATGGCGGAAATGAGGTTGAGATTAAACAGGTTTTAGTTTGAATTTTCCTCGAGAAGAAGAATGGGGAAGAGAAAAGTGTGAATAAGAGTTGAAAGTGTTAAACGGGCATTAATTTGAAATCACCCTAATTTATTCTTATGAACACCATTGCTAGTTCGGATTATTTTTGTGGACACTCTGAGTAGAAATTATTATTGTAGAATCCCTAAAAGTAGAGATTATTCTTATGAATTTCACCTTCGTATTTTGTGGACTTTGAGCTTTTGTAAATTTAACATTCCATGTAATGGTAAAACACTAATATGTATGATGGCCAGAGGGGAGGGTCATGCTTGCATTTGGTATTCTCACACAATTTAAAAAGGCTAGTTGAGGTATGGAGGCTGTTTGTTTCTGAGAGACGAGGTGTAAGCCTCTAGGCTCATTGAGGAATAAACATCAAAATATACCAACAAATAATAAATTCTTAATAGTTAAACCACGTAGTTCCAACTGAAGATGCTCATATTAAAAATCCAGAAAGTCTCAAACACAAACACATGATCATATCATCACCCCATATTTCAAAATGAAAGTTCAAACATACAAACAAACACATCACACATTTAAGATCCAAGGTTAAAGTTAGCAAGCAAACTCACAAATTACACAATTTGGAAACACCGAAGTTTAATCCAAATGTGAAATCTGAAAGCTACCCTCTCAGCCTTATTATTACAAGCTCATTATAAAAAAGTTATACCTGGACTATTTGGGCGTACGCCTCTTATCCTGCAAGAAGGGCGTCCGCCTCAATACCAATTTTGACTAGTCTAGCAGTGAGACGCACCTCAAAACCTGACTCTTAAGCGCCTTTTGAAACCATACGCGGTAACTGATAGGAATCAAGGAAGGCAACAATCTACCCTTAAGGATGACATTACCTTTTATGAGAAAGTTTATACTAGAAAAGGGAAGGGGAATAATAAATAACTAGTTGGTTTGTAATTGGGAGTTGGGTGGAGTATTATTAATAGGTGCTGTTATGTTTAGTTGGACAGGTTGGAACTATCTGGTTAGTTGGGATTGGGAGTTGGAATTCTGTAACGACCTAGGAACTATATTTTCCTTTTCTGTTAGACAATAAACTCTCTCTATCGTTGGTCTTCTCCATTTTTATCCATTTGTGAGCTTGGAATTCTGGTAGATTTAGCTAGAAACTATCATTTGGTATCAGAGCTTCGTTCTTGACGCCTGTCCATGGTTGCTACGCATGGAACCATGGAAGGAAAACTTGAAAGTTTGGAACACGAGTTGGAGCATCATCGCGAAGAGTCGTTGATCAATCGCGAATAGATGAGGAGAACTCGCGACGAGATCAGGAACACTCGTGATGAAATCCGGAACAAGATGGCTGAGCTGCGTGAATTGATGATAAAGCAGAACATTCCGCAGGAGCGAGGAAGGTCAAAAACCTCAAATCGCGACAAGCGACATGACAGTCCAACTCAGTCATACTCCAGAGGTTATTTGGCGATCAATTTCATCTAGAGAGGAGGATAATAGTCATAGACTGTTTATGAAATCTGGTAGGAAGGTGGATTTACCACTTTTTAACGGATTAGATGCTTATGGTTGGACTATAAGAGTCGAAATATTCTTTAAGCTCAACAACATAGCTGAAGAATATAAGGTAGAGATAATTACCTTAGCTATGAAAGAGAACGCCTTAAATTGGTTCCAATGGTGGGAAGAATAAGCAATAATGCGTAACTGGGAACAATTTAAGGCAACTCTAATACGAAGATTCTAACATTATTTGGTACAAAATCCCTTTCGCCCTCTGTTGAGTGTGAAACAAACTGGCAGTGTCATGGAGTATAGAGAAAGGTTTGAACAAGTTGTAGCCCTTTTACGACATACAGATGTGGGAATGCTTTAGGGGATATTTTTGAATGGTCTGAAAAGAGAAGTAAGGGCGGAGTTGAAACTATATCCAACCAAGACTTTAGCTGATTTGATGGATAGGGCTTTATTGTTGGAAGAAAAAAATCTGGCTCTCAAAACAGGAAGAAATAAAGAGGAGGAAAGAAGAGGATGGAAAGGAAAAGTGGGCAGTACATCAACATCTCAAAGATGGATTGATGGTACGAAATGGAGATCTAATTTGAGTAGTCAAACTCGACCAGATAGACTGCCATTGGAAAAAAAAGGGAAGTTAAGCAGCAAGTAAGCCTATGACCTGAGGTACAAGTGTTAAGCAGAAAGGGGCTATGCTTTAAATGTGGTGAGCACTGGAGCAAGGATCATACCTGCAGAATGAAACATTTTCAGTTTGTTGTAATAGAGGAATCAGATAATGAGGAAGAAAAAGAAATACTTCAGTTGGAATCTTGTTTAAATGAAGCAGAGGCTGAAATCCCAACAATGCAATTAGTAATCATGAGTAAGACAGGCATTACAACTCCCAGAACTTTTAAAGTGACAAGTGACAGGAAGTATACATGGCCACAGGGGTAGCAAGAGAGTGGTGGTGTTAATTGATTGTGGGGCAACTCATAACGTCATATCTCCAGATGTGGTGCAAGAAGCGGGAATACCTATTTTACAGATTCCTGGTTATAAAGTGGAGATTGGAAATGGAGATCAAATGAGTAAATGAGTAATAGTGGTAAACGTGAAGCTGTTATTCTCAGGGTGCAACAAACCAACATAATTCAGGATTTTTATACAGTAGAGCTGAAGCTTCTTTTAAAAGCATAGTCAAAAATATCCATAAACAAGGAGAAGGATATTACTTGTTTAGGGGTGAACTGGTAGAAGAGAGAGTGAATTAGCACAGGGTGAAACAAAACAGGAGAAAGGGTCGATCAAGGATATACTAGCAGATTTTCAAGAAGTGTTCCAACCATTAAATGGCTTGCTTCCAAATAGAGATTGTGATTGATAAGAAACTGGCAGTAATCAAGCAGAAACAGTAATAATCTAGGAAATATGCAGAGAAAGAGAGCAATGGAAGTGTTTATTGGAAGAAAATGATCAACGTAGGGTACAAGCAACGGGACTGTTAGAGAAGCCCACTCTCCAAACCACAGCCAAGTCTGAAATAACAGCCTGCCTTATTTAGCTATTCCCCTTTCTATTTATAGTAAAGCATCCACGCAGGGATAAAAAGGCTACCCGCTTGCTATTTAATTACTAAACCCCCTATTCCTCCTCCTGTAGACTTTGTTAAAGTACTGAATAGGCCCCTTATTCCTATCAGTGATCATGCAATAACAATAAAGGAGGGGGCTACAATAACAAACATCAGACCTTACACATACTCTCAATATCAAAAAAATGAAATTGAGAAGCTAGTGCAGGACTTACTTAAGATTAGAATTATCAGGCCCAACACCAGTCCATTTAGTAGCCCACTTATCATGGTGAGAAAGAAAGATGGAGGGTGAAGATTTTGTGGGGATTATAGAGCCCTCAATAAAATCACTGTACCAGACAAGTTTCCTATCCCTATTATTGAAGAACCGTTAGATGAATTGAGTAATGCACAAGTCTTTTCAAAATTAGACTTAAAATTTGGGTATCACCAAATTAGAATGAGAGAATCTGATATTCATAAGACATCAATTAGAACCCATGAGGGCCATTACGAATATTTGGCTATGCCTTTTGGGCTCACAAATGCACCCTCAACTTTTCAGGCCCTAATGAATCATCAAGTCTTAAAACCATACACCAGAAAATTCGTGTTGGTTTTCTTTGATGACATACTGATATACAGTAAGAATGAGGCAGATCACATAATCCATTTACAGAAGGTGCTGCAACTTTTTAAAAGAAAATCAGTTGGTGGCCAACCAAAAGAATTGTTCTTTTGGGCAGAAACAACTAGCTTACTTGGGTCACATTATCCCAAGGGAGGGTGTTTTAGCAGATCCAAGCAAAATATCAAATATGTTGGACTGGAAATTACCTACAGATGTGAAGGGATTACGAGGCTTCTTAGGACTCGCAAGTTATTATACGTAGTAGAAGATTTGTTAAAGGATATGGCAAGATAGCATATCCTTTAAATGAGCTCCTTAAGAAAGATGGATTCCAGTGGAATCAAGTTGCCAAGGATGCCTTTGAAGAATTGAAGCAGGCTATGACTCAGTTACAAGTCCTACAAATACCAAATTTTAATAAGGTATTTGTGGTAGAAGCAGATGCTTTTGGTAAGGAGTAAGATGGGAGACTTGTAGCCTTTATGAGCAAAACATTATCTCCTAAAAATTAGAACAAATCTGTTTATGAAAGAGAACTCATGGCTATTGTTTTAGCCATCCAAATATGGATACATTACTTGTTGGGAAGAAGGTTTCAAGTTCACACTGATCAGAGAAGTCTGAGGTTTTTGACAGAACAAATAATATTGGGAGAGGATCAACAGAATTGAGTAACCAAACTGTTGGGATTTAATTTCACCATCAAATATAAACCAGGAATATAAAACAAAGCAGCAGATGCACTCTCCAGAAAAGGGAATTTGTATTCACTATAAATTTCTATTCACTATCTGTGGTCACATGCCAAGAGTGGGAGGGTTTAGAAACTGAGTTAATGGAAGATGAAAAATATTAGGGTATTATGCAACAACTCTGGGGACAACCAGATTCTATACCTGATTTTAAACTTCGAAGTGGTTTGTTATACTACAAAGAGAGATTGGTTATTCCCAGGAATTCTGCTAGGATACCATCAATCCTCAAAGAATTTCATGAATCAGCAGTAGGAGGGCATGCTGGGAATTTTAAGACAATGAGGAGGATCTCCACACTGTTTTATTGGGTTGGAATGATGGCAAACATCAAAACTTATGTGCGGCAGTTTTATGTGTGCCAGAGAAACAAATATCAAACTTTGAATCCAGCAGGGTTACTTCAACCTCTGCTTATTCATATACAAATATAGACTGACATAAGTATGGACTTCATTGGGGGACTCCCAAAAGCTTGTGGAAAAGACACTATATTGGTAGTAGTTGATAGATTGACCAAATTTGCACATTTCATTGCTTTGGCTCATCCTTACAATGCTAAAGGAGTAGCTGAAGTTTTCATTCAGGAGGTGGTCAGATTACATGGTTTTCCAAAAACTATTTTATCTGACAGGGACAATGTATTTCTTGGTTCTTTTTGGACAGAATTATTCAAGTTGGAAGGGACAAAATTGAAATACACTACAACCTACCATCCACAAACGGATGGACAGACATAAGTGGTTAACAGATGTGTAGAAACTTACCTCAGGTGTATGGCATGTAATAAACCAAAGTGCTGGCCTAAGTGGTTTCCTTGGGCAGAATTTTGGTACAATACAAACTACCATGTGTCTCTTAAGAACACTACCTGCAAAACCCTCTATGGACAGGATCCTCCTGTGTTGATTTATTAGAGGGATGCTACTTTAACAGAGAATGGTGAAGTTACCAGATTGACAGCAGAAAGGAATGGTATGATTGATGAGTTAAGGAGTACATTAGCTGTCACACAGAACAGAATAAAGCAGCAAGCAGATAAAAAGAGAAGACATGTTCTGTTGGATATTGGAGATTGGGTATATCTAAAGATTCAGCCCTACAAATTAAAAAGCTTGGCGAGAAGAATTAACCAGAAGCTCAGCCCTAGATATTATGGGCCATTTGAGGTGATTGACAAAACATATCCAATAGCCTACAAACTAAAGTTACCAGATGGGTTTGCTACTCACCATGTGTTCCATTTATCTCTACTGAAGAAAACCTTGGCTCCTGACACCCCTTTCCAGCCTCTTCCCAAATGTATAACTGAAGATTGGGAGCTGCAAGTTTATCCAGAAAAAGTGGTGGACAGTAGGGTCAATTCAGAAGGAAAACAAGAGATTTTGGTGCATTGGAGACATCTACCATATTTTGAAGATTCATGGGAAGGGCCCCAAAGATTCCAAGAACAATTCCCTGATTTCCACCTTGGGGACAAGGTGGTAGTTCAGGCGGGGAGTGATGATAAGAATCATGGAAGGCAACAGTCCACTCTTAAGGATGGCATTACCTTTTATGAGAAATTTTTATACTAGAAAGGAGAAGGCGGATAATAAATAACTAGTTGGTTTGCAATTGGGAGCTGGGTGGAGTAGGAGTATTATAAATAGGTGGTGTTATGTTTAGTTGGACAGGTTGGAACTATCTGGTTAGCTGGGATTGGGAGTTGGAATTCTGTTACGACCTGGGTACTGTATATTCTTTTCTGTTAGACAATAAATTCTCTCTATCGTTGGTCTTCTCCATTTTTATCCATTTGTGAGCTCGGAATTCTTGTAGATTTAGCTAGAATCTATCAGTAGCTCACTAGCTCACACACACATCCAATTGTTCAACAATTTTAACCCTCTGTTGTGGTATAATGAATCAGATTAATATAATATTGGTCATAATCTATCAATATTTGGGTTTTATTAAGAATACCACTTATTTTGTTGTTATCATTTGTATTACATCATCTTCATCATCATTATTTTCACTTCATCTTTCATAAGATTCATGACTAGACTCTACTTCAGATTCTACATTATCTTGGCTTGGACCACGTTGGACATATTGGTGGGCGCAAGAGGTATTTATATATCCATTTTCTTTTAGGATTTTAAAACTATTGTACTATAATTACTCCCCATCTTTATCACCACCACCACCACCATCATCATCATCATTTATTTTCCTCCTGCAGTGCATTAATGGCCCCTAAATTGAGGGAGATGGATGAGACTATCAAAATTATTGATCAAAGTGTTTTACAACCTCAAGATAAAGATGAAGGGCGGACACTCCTGGTTTGTGTTGCTTTCTTCTCACTATCAGATATTTATTAATTTCCAATTTCCCTTTTCATAATGAACTTCATCGTTATTGCCCAAAATATGTGCAATTTAGTTAACAGCCATACTTTATCACAGAACTTGAGATTAGTTCTCTGTGGGGTTGTAATTTGAAATACTCATTTGCCATCTCTTTCTCAGAGTTGTGTCAAGTAGAGCGCTGATTAGGAACCTTCATTTAACATCCCTGTCATAAATTCGTGTCATGTTAAATATGGTATCTAGTATTATGGATTTATTAGAATTCAAGGTAATTGCCAAATTGAGAACAAACTTTGCACAAATTGTCAATAATGGCATATTGGCATGACCTATATAATAACAAAGTAAGCACAAACTTACAGCACGACTAATGCTTATATTGCTCAATTCCAGAAATGCGAATACACTTCACCAATTTTTTGAGATCCTACTCAAGGTTTGGTATCAATAAGTGTGAATATTATCAAAATAATATATTAAGTAAAATAAAATTCAAAAATCTTTTCTATTCAAAGTTCACATATATTTATTTCAAAGTGTGCTACACAATTTGTCCCACAACTACTAAAATATAATATATCAAACCAATGTATATGATATGGAGTTACTGTGTTTATGGCCATGTGCTTGACTCTTCAGGGACCCCAAATATTAATGTGGTATGAGATCTTTTCCAATCCGTTATTATGATTAGCTGATTAGCTCATCATCATCACCCAGTGCCGCAAGGGCTCCTACCTACGGTGGGGTAAGGGGGGGTCGGACGGATGTACGGAATCTTATCCCTGTACTAAAGCACAGAGAGATTGTTTCGAGATGACCCATAGTGAAAATCACATCGAAAATTGCATGCTTTTATATGATTAGCTGATTAGCTCCTTATGAAAATCTGAAAAAGATAACCAGTTCTGATGAGGTATAGGACTGCGAAGGTAGATGCTTTTATAAATAAATTGCATTGTCTAGATGAGGTGTCAGGTAATAGGGGGGGGGGGTTGTATCCTAATATTGACGAAAAAACCAATTTAAGATATTTGAGCTACTATATCTATGGTTACCACGTTGACAATAGTTGAAACCTGAAATCTTAATATGATATCAGAGTATACTCTTAATGTGGTAACCATGATGTGGCTTTCTATGGAAAAAATGAAAAAAATGCATGGTCCAAACGAGATGCTGGATTGTGAGACTATGTGCTATGAATAAATTGCATGTTCTAGATTTAGTGTCAAGTTATGAGGGGTGTGCGCTCCTATAAGAAAGTGAAATAGCATATTGTTAAGGGCACGTATTAGCAACCTTGTCCAAGGCCTGGAACGGGAACCCTAGTATGAATGAGAAGAGAGAGACAAACAATTCTGGATCTCATCCTCATCATTTTCATTTACCCCAGTGCCGTAAAGGCTCCCACCTACGGTGGGTTAAGGGGGGATCGGATGTACGCAGTCTTACCCCTGTACTAAAGCATGTACTAAAGCACAAAGAGACTGTTTCTGGATGACAAACAATTCTGGATCTATTTTAATTAAATGTGAAGAGAGGCTGGAAATAAAGGGCTTAACGGAATTAATTTTGGGTTCTGACCTAGTCAAGACATCTTAGAATGAATTCTCTCAAAAGCTGTTTTATTAAATTAATTGAGAACCCTTTAAATAGGTATTCAGGGTTTCCTAAAGTGAATTGCTAATTTGCTATTCTAATGGAACTACAATAAAGGAAGACTAGTCCAAATAGGATTAGCTATAATAAAGGAAGACTATCCCAAATAGGATTAACTATAATAAAGGAAGACTAGCCCAAATAGGATTAACTAATATTAATTTTTAATATTAATAATAATAGGACTTTTCTGCTTGCTTGGGCCTTTTTCATTAGCCACTTTGTTTCCTAATTTCATCTGTCCCCCTTTGATCTCTTCTTTTATATGTACGACCATAAAACCGGTCAGTAACACATATGTGAGGTGTCTAGAAAAATTTTCCCACATTAACTAAGATATGAAATAACAAATCAACATACTCCGTATAAGATATTAGACTCAGTGATGTCAATTGCGGGCTATAGCGGCACTATAGAGGATTAGCGAGTGGAGTGGGGGCTAGGTGCTATGAGATTGCCTATAGCAGAGCAGTTGGCAATAGCGGCTGTGCGGGTGCTATAGCGGGAAGAATAGCGGCTGTAGCAAGCGCTATAGTGCCGCTATAATTTACGAGCGGCTACTTCAGTGCTAGTTTTGAGAGAATTTCTATGGTGCACCGATACTTCACCCGATGCCGTATCCGTGTATCCGATACTGATACTCACCGATACGCATCCTGCACGTATTGAGTGTGTAACCATAATTTAATAAAAGTATCAGACTTATTTTAGAATTTATAAATATTTTTGATACCCTATTCGTGAATCGATACGCGTATCTAATCCTATAACTCTTTCATACATGACATAACGAAAATTCAGTAATCGTCCAAGCGACCACAAGATGTGGAACATCGGTAAAGATGATTTTCAGAAGTATGGAAAATATTGGAATACCATAACAAGATTTAATTAAAATCAGTCTTGTTAAAACACTCAGATGTAAATGCAAATAGGGCACCAAAAATATTATTTGAATTTAAATCAAAATATCATTACTTAGTTTTTTAGTCTATTCTTTGAAATTTTATCATAATTGTTAATTTTTGGCACTATTATTATTATTTTACTAATGAACCTCTGAATTATATATATTTGCAAATTGTACCCTATATTATTATTATTATTATTTATAATAATAAATAATAATAATTTGGGAGTACTTTTTACTTGTAGATGTTTTTTGGAGTAAAAAACAACCTCACTACACCCTCCAATCCAAAACATGTGGGGGGACAAAATAACCCTACTAAACCATACTAAAATAACTAAAAACAGAAACCAAGATCAAACATAGCCTACACCATACATCTCCATGGTAGTTCAAGGCATCCCAACAACCATGATTTTTTTATAATGAGATATTAATGACTGCAATTTTTTGAAGAATTATCTGGAGCTTAATTTTAATGTTAGAGGTAAGGTACATAAATTATGAGAATATTCCCAAGGATTAAATATATTTATTACAAGCTTGGAGCATTTAATATACATGCTCCAGCTTGAAGTTGAGTGTAGAGTTAGTCATCATGTCTATGTGCTCTAACTCTTCATCTACCCTATCTTAACTCTTAATATACCGTATCTCTTGGTCTTTCATCTGCCTATTCACCTTGTATTATACATTGTTGTTTTCTCATAATGAGTAAGGTAATAATGATCATATAAACAAGTGTTATACTTCCTAGGTTCTTGTTTGTTCTAGACTTCTAGTTATTACACACTTATCCACAAAGATGTTATAAATTCAGATGCGTAGTTAGAATTCTAGACTCATTTTGCCTTTTTAATATGTGATTTGTGTTCTTTTCATGTGTTATTTTGTGCTATGCATCTAATGCGCAGTTGGTGGTTAGTGACCACGGAATGACTGGAAGTGGTAACCATGGAGGATCATCATATGAAGAAACTGATTCTTTGGCTCTTTTTATCGGTCCAAGAAATTTTGGTGGTATCAAAGTGACCCATAACAAAGTTAATCAGGTATCTTGAGTATCTATCCTACAAGCTAAAGGGCTATAATGTCCATGTATTCTGTACCATAAGGTAAATTATGTTAGGCTATAAGTTATGCAAATTTGTAAGGTTGCACAGCATTGCACTGTTGGTGAAATCTAAAGCTAACTTGTCATTTGCTTGTAATCTCATGAACTAGATTGAAGTCAATTAGAGGTGAATTGCACTAGATGCATAGCATTGCACTAGATTCAATTCGATTTCTTTATGAGGATGAAATGTTTGCCGTGTTGTCAGTGTGAACTATTGTCATTGTCTTGTTGTAACATAACTTCGAAAAAGGTCTAATAAGGCTATTTACTTGTCCAAACCATCATATAATCCCTTAGTGAAAACAAATGTCACATGAACCAGTCTACTCCAAGGTAGTCAAAATCGCGATTCTACTCGTAGGATCGTACGAGTTTACGCGTCAATACTCAATCAGCGATCCCGTTCCTAGAGAAAATCGGAAAAAATGTGGGAACGGCTGAATCGCCGATTCAGATCGTAAACTCGTAGACTCGCATAGGATCGGCGATCCGTTTGCAGCCTTTGAAGAAAAACGAAAAAAAAATTCAGGCCACCCGAAACGTCAACAGAGAGGGTGCGAACCATCTGGAATCGATGGAAAACGTTCGAAAATTTTAAAAGAGATCTCTGTCGCTTCAAATTGCGTGCAAAAGCATCTATAAATTAAGTGTTCAGCAATGGTTCAATCATTCAAGCATCGCCTTCTTCCTCTGTACTTCTCTGCAACCAAACTCTTCCCGGCGAACTCCACTCTCAGGTCCGACTGGGTCACTCGGCGACCTCCACTCTCAGGTCCGACTGGGTCACTCGGCGACCTCCACGGCTCCAGCTCTTTGTGGAAGACTCGAAGGCAGGCGGCAGCCATCCATCTCCCAGTTCTGCGTTGTCAACTAAAAGTGCGAGTCTTCACTCTGCTGAAGAAGAAGACTCGAATTGTCTTATTTCGTTTCTCAACTCTCTAGCGCAGGTGAGTTAGTATATAATCATATAAATTAATTATATATATTCAATACTTTAATTTATGTACTAGTATTTTTTTCTTTCTTAAAGTACTATATAATACACATTATTATAATTTATTTAAGAACATATTACTTTAAATTGTTATCTGCTAGGTAGTTAGGTGTTACGGAGTATAATTTATTTAAGAACATATAAACTTAGTAGTTTCTGTTATTATTAAGTAAAAAAATACAGTTAGATTATTTTATTAGGATTTAGGAACAGATTAATTTAAATTATTATTTTTGTATCTGTTAGGTCATTTAGGTTTTATAAACTTATAAGGTATAATACAACTTACTGTTATTATTTTATTATTATTTTATTAAAAGGTAGATTGTTTTTTGTTTGTTTATTATAAACATAAAATTTTATTACATTTTACATTTAATATATAAAGACTTCATTACATATTCTGAATCATTTTCTACTCTTATAATAGGTTAATTTAAGATAACAGTTTACTCATTTATTTTCTACTATTTGTATTATATTTCTATTATATTTATAACAATATTTTTTCATTCATCCTTATATGTGTTGTAGTGCATTATGTCATCCATACCTACTTCGGCAGCCACTATGAGTTCCAAAGTTGTGGCAAAAAATGCCCCCGGCCAAAAGAGTGACATCGCTTGGAAGCATAGTCATTCCGTTGATGGTAGCAATCAAAAGTTGCAATGTAACTATTGTAGCAAAGTCTTTTCTGGCGGTCCTTTTCGGATGAAGCATCACTTGGCGGGAACCCAGAAAGATGTTGCTGCTTGTAATGCAGTTAGTGATGAAGTGAAGCAACTTATGTGGGATCTCGTTGTCACCGACAAGGTGAAGAAGCATAGCGAGCGCGATGATGATGACGAGGATGCACACACAGGTGAAAAAAGAAAACTGAATCAAGTGGAAGGCCAATCATCTAATGCTTGCTTCAATTCCTTCAAAAAGAAAGGAGTTACTACTCAAGCAACCATTAATACCATGTACAAAAAAAAACCTTAGAGAGGATGCTTGCCAAGCGATCTGTAGATTTTTCTATAACAATGCTATAGCATTCAATGCCGCAAGAAGTGAAGAGTTTTTTAATATGTGTGAGTTGATCGCAAAGCATGGTCCTGGTTTCAAACCGCCATCCTATCATGAAATAAGAGTGAAGTACCTAAAGCAAGAAGTGGACCTGACAGAAGCTGTTGTGAAAGAGCACAGAGAAGAGTGGAAGAAAACAGGTTGCACTATAATGAGTGATGGATGGAGTGATACCAAAAAAAGAACTTTGATTAATTTCTTAGTGAACAGCCCAAAGGGAACAGTTTTTTTGAAATCTATTGATGCGTCTGATATAGTTAAGTCTTCGGACAAAATTTTTAAGATGTTGGATGACGTTGTCGAGGATGTTGGTGAGGAGAATGTCATTCAAATTGTGACCGACAATGCAACAAACTATAAAGCTGCTGGAGAGCTGTTGATGCAAAAGAGGAAAAGGTTGTACTGGACACCTTGTGCAGCACATTGCATAGACCTCATGCTGGAAGATTATGAGAAAAAGATTCCCGTTCATGGCGAGACGATCCCAAAAGGTAGAAGAATTACTACCTTTATTTATTCTAGGACTCCACTCATTTCTTTGTTACACCATTACACAAACAATAGAGATTTAGTGAGACCGGGCATGACTCGTTTTGCCACGTCATATTTAACTTTGGGATGCCTTCATGAGAAAAAAGGTGCACTGATTAGAATGTTCACATCCCGAGCGTGGAAGTCAACAAGATATGCCAAGACCGGCGATGGAAAGTTTGTTGAAGATATTATTTTGGACAAAGAATTTTGGAAGAATATCGTGACGTGTTTGAAGGCTACACTTCCTCTTATTGAAGTGCTTCGTTTGGTTGACTCAGATGAAAAACCAGCGATGGGATTCATATATGAGGCAATGGATCGAGCTAAAGAAAAAATACAAAGTGCTTTCAACAATGTCAGAAAAAGGTGCTTAAAATATTATATTTACCTAATTTTTTTACCTAATTTTGTGTAAACTAACTATTAATTTATTATTATTCCTTAGTTACTTGCCTTTGTGGAACGTTGTGGATGAAAGATGGGACAAACAGTTGCATAGACCTTTACATGCTGCTGGCTATTATCTAAACCCCCAGATGCAGTATAGTCCCAATTTTAAAGCTGACTTTGAAGTTAAAAAAGGTTTGTACGACTGCATCACTCGCATGGTAGCTGATGTTGAAGTACAAGCAAAGATAGATATCCAGCTCGATGATTTTAAGAAACGTGCAAATCTGTTTGGCACTCCTTTAGCGAGAAAGACACTAGATAAAAAGAGTCCATCAGACTGGTGGGAGTCGTACGGAGACGAGTATTCTGAGCTTCAAAAGTTTGCCATTCAAGTACTAAGCTTGACATGTTCTTCATCTGGTTGTGAACGTAATTGGAGTGCGTTCGAGATGGTATGTATTATAATATTTTTTTTCTAATAATTATTTTTAGAATAAATTTTTAATTTGTTTTCCATAATATCTATTTAATTAGGTCCACACAAAGAGAAGAAATCGTTTAAAGCAGAAAACAATGAACGATCTTGTATTCATTATGACTAATTCAAAGCTGGCAAAACGGAAGAAGGCAAGGAAATCATCGCAACTCATACTCGATGATCTTTCATCTGACGATGAGTGGATTATGGAAGATGCTATTGGAGAGGATGAAGTAGGTGTAGATGCTGACAACTTAGTTATGGACACCCCAATTGTCAATGAAGATGGTTCACCCTCAGAGGATCAAGAGATGACTCATGTTGATTTGGATGTGGGTGATTTGGATGATGGAGGAGGGGATGAAGATCCTTTGGAAGATTATGATTTTAACTTAAATGACTATGTCTTAGATGTTTAATTATATAATTAGGAGTAATAACTCTTTTTGTTTCAAGTCTTTAAGTACCCAAAATATTTGATATTATGTTATATTGTTATAAACATCTACTTTGATCATTATTTATCAATTATTTTTATTTTCTAACTATATGTATACATATGTACATATATATACACATATATATATGTGTATGTATATGTAAGTATATAATTTGTAGGATCTTACGATCCGAGTCACGATCCTACGATTTACGATCCTTATTCCAAATTTCGATCCTGCGTAGGATCTCGAGTTTGACTACCTTGGTCTACTCCTAAAAAATGATCAATTAGATCATTTCACCCAAAGATGACATGCTTTAGCATGTCACTTGCTTAAGTTGCAATTTTGCATAATATTTGTTATTTCATTTCCTTTTTCTTTTTCTTCCTATTAGGTTTCGTTTGAACCAGAAAGGTGGACAAATTTTTCTTTTATCATTTCCTTTTTCTTCCTTTTTCTTGCCTGTGCTAGCACCAAAGGAGGGACACAGGTGATGCCAGCTCCAGTAATGGATGGTGGGAGATTCAGCTTATTATTTCTCTTAGCCCATGTTTGCACCAAAGGAAGGATGGGGGCAGTGCATCTCCAATGATGACTAGTTTCTGTCCGCAGAAGGATTGTATGGTAACAAAACTAATCAAGGGACACGGTTTCCAATTTCCGCCGCCGTCCATAGCGTAAAACAGAGGCATTCAGCCAGGAGGTCTTGTCAGTGCTGGAACTCTGGAAGTCGTGTTCGTTGTCGTTGGAGTCGAATTCTCATCGCATGAAGTCAGTTAAACAGTGCTCTATCTTTTTGTCAACAATTAGAGTAGAAGACTATTGATACAGGCGTGATTGGTAAGAGAAGGTGGCGTTCGACCCTGTCAAGACTCCAATGATTAACTCCAAAATTATTAATCTTACTACCTCCTCCCGAAAAGGTTCGCCAACTTTGACTTTCACGTGGATGAATAAAGTAAAAACTGTGTGGTTGAAATCTATGCAGAGGAGAGAGAATTAACTTTAGCCACATATTCCTTACTTTAAATGGAAATGGCAAATCTTTTTGGGACATCCAAAAAAGGAAATTTGGCAAACCTTTTCGGGACGAAGGGAGTATACAACACTTCTATTTAGACTAGCGCCAAGAGTCTTGGTAAACTAGTACTAGAGGAAAGCCTAAACCTATTACTACCTCCGTCCATGGTTGTTGATGGAGCAGAATGGCGCGCAAATCCCCCATGCGCCATGAATAGTGGCCGTGGCGCGACCTATACAAGTGGCGATGCCATTTGGGCGCCATCGCCATGGCGCTGGGCCATCTTATTTAACAAAAGAGAAGTACAGGCTCGCGAGTCCAGGAAAGTAGAAAGAGAATTCTGACGAGTGAAGGCAAAAATGTCCGAAGCATCTGGAATCCACGGGAAACGTTCAAAGATTTTAAGCATCACCTTCGAATCCCCTGTTCTCTACAATTCAATTCTTCCCAGAAACAAGTGTAAGGCGACCTCCATAGGGCATCAACCTCCAGTCACGCCAGGCAACGGGCTACTCTCTCTGCATCGAAAGTTGAGCTCGATTTAACTCCATATTTGCGCCATTCTATCACCATGGAAAAATGCCTATGCGACATTGATGCTGCCATGACAACTATGCTTCCTTCCCATTCAAAGGTTCTCGTCCACTATTCTTCCGTCAACGTAAAGTCTTCTTAATCTTTTACTTTATATATCTAAGTTTTATCATATTTGATTTTTGAGAAAATGACTTTAAATAATACAAATTATCACCTATAAACCAAGATTAATACATACTTTGGAAATGATTTTTAATAATACCAACTATTTGAATATATAACAAAAATAATATTGAGCCATTTTTCGACATTAAATTTCATCATTTAAGACATCAAAAATTGATATCAAAGAATCAAATAAATGATATGTGGAAATATGATCACTTATTTGATATTATAATATTAGTTTTTGATGAGTTAAAAAAATGATTAAAATTTTAATAAAAACTGCTATATATCACTTTGATATATATTAAAATAATTGGTATTATAAAAAATTATTTCTAAAGTACATATTATTATTGATTCATAGAAGATAGAATGTATTATTTAAAGTTATTCTTCCTTGATATTTTGCTACTTTATAAAACTTTTAATGTAGTTTCTGAATATGTAAATTTTATTTACTAAAAATAATTTTACTACGGACACAGATCACTTAACTTTATAGTCAGTCAAACATCTTAAACCGTGTGAGAACCTTTGTATGGGACCGAGGGAGTACAATACTGGTATTAGGACTATTAACTAAATGTAATACATATGCCATTAGGAAACTACTACTAATAATATTAAACGAATAATAGTAACAACAATAATAATACTAATAATGCCAAGTACCTTGTGGGCTGATGGTATCACTGTGGCACTCCCAAGGAGGAGGTCACAGGTTCGAATCCCATCCTAGTTCAAGGATGCTGGCCTTAACAGAACAAATACTATAATAGGTTGAGAAAATTCCTTATATAGGACTAAAACAAAAACTAAATGCACATATATAGGACTATCATTGTTTTCTTCCTAAAATAGGACTTATTCACTCCTAATAGGGAAAGTTTTATACTTTTAATAGGATCAAATAAGTCCTATTTTGGGAATATAATACATATAGTCCTATTTTTTCATTTTGTCCAAGTTTTAGTCCTACTTAGAACAATTTCTATAATAGGTTAGAAAGATTTGCCAAAAAAAGTAAAATAATACTAATAATAATAGTAACAATAATAATATAATAATAATAATTGTTAATATAGTGAGACACATGAAATTTGTAATATACTTGTGTGATCACTGGGAACTAATGTTTTAGGATTGATTAAGAATTTCACATAAGTATATTACTAATTCTACAAGTCAGTTGCAAGTCATTTGATGTCAATCGATCATTTTGTAAAAAGTAGACATTGTTATGCTACACTTATTTTAGTATATGGGTCTACTATGTCAAGCTCTCAAATTAATAGAATGAATTATTTGATTCTTTCATTAAATTTTGTTCACTATGGAGTAATAATAGTATCTTGTCCCTAACTCAACCGAATCCACCCCACCCAAAGATGCAAACATGCATACACAAAAATATATGTACTTGTGCATGTCCTCATGTTTATATGCACACAAGCTTGAATGGTTGTGTGTCTACATGTATAATGAAATCCTTGTGATTTTAACAAATGTATGGATGATTTAGTGATAATAAGCTATAAAGAATTCTTCTAAACATGTTTTCCAGGTTGATATTGCTCCATCATTAGCTCTTCTCTTCGGTGTTCCTATTCCCAAAAACAATGTCGGGATGCTGTTGGGAGCAGCGCTGAAACCTTTGACAGGTTTGAATCTTAGATTAGTTTTATATTTTTCCATAAATAAAAAGAAGATAAAGCTAAACTATAGAATTTAGCTTGAATGTCATTGTTGAAACCCTAACCTAACCCTCATGCGCCTAACAATGTCGGGATGCTGTTGCGAGAAGCGCTGAAACTTTTGACAGGTTTGATTCTTGTATAAATAACCCTCGTGTGTTTTTTGTAGATGAAAGAGTCAATGGATGGTGACAACAGATAAGTGATAATCAACGGTAGAAACTGTTGCCTAGAGCCAATAGGGAAACTGTTGCCTAGAGCCAATAGGTTGAAATCCAATTTTATTAACTTATAAACAAGATTGAACTCTAATTAGGGGTTTAAATACCCTTCTAATAACAGACACAAAACAGAAATCCTAATCGCACACTTATACATACATATGTATACATATACACCCATACATACATATACACATATATACATATGCATGCATATATACATATATATACATACGCGTGTACAGACACCCACAATCACACACATGCGTGTGTACACACCCACACCCACTGTCACACACATAGACACACATTAGCATTGCTGTGATTTCAATGCTCTAATAGTCTATGAATGTTATGTTGTGCGCTGATCTCATATATTGATGCTAGTATATTTTGCATATGTTCAGGTATTACAGATGACCAACTGCTTAGACTATTGGAATTGAATTCTTGGCAATTGCTGAGATTGCTTCATGCACAGTTTCCTGATTTAGTTTATGAAAAGGTTTCATGCGCTGCCTCTTGTAAAGAGAATTTTGTATCAAGTGATCGACTACAAATGCTATGTTGCTTGTACCTTGAGGCTGCATCTCTTCATGGATCCTGGAAAACTCAAAGAGGTTTCAGGTGGGTACTTCTTTTTGCATCTGTTGAAACATGATAGAGAACTCAAGCAAGCAGTAGAAATCAGTAGTATATTGATGAAGTTGCAGAGTTACAGTAGCAGAATTAGAAGAAAGAGAAAGATACATCGAGACACTTAGAGCAGTCCCCTCTCCCAAGTCTATCCCAAATTCTGCTTACCCTTCTCACTCTTCCCTTTTCTTATTTATAGCTTTCCCATACAAAGATATTTATCTGCCAGATCAGTTATTCCCACTTCCCGCTTCTCCCCTTCTATTGACTCTTCTTTTATACACTTCTTCAAAGTATTGTATATTAGTATTTTTATTTCCGCTTCTATCATCCATATCTCTATCATTACTCCCCTCTTGAACATCCACCTTGTCCTCAAGGTGAACTTCTGGGAATTGCTCCATCAACTTCTTCATGGACTCCCAGGAATCTTTGAAGTCTGGAAGCTGTTTCCAATGCACCAACAGCTCGTTTTCTCCTCTAGGACCTGTAGGACCTATCTGAGTGGCTAGTACCCTTTCTGGAGTAGTTTGGAGTTCCCACTCCTCTGATAAGCACTTGGGTAAGGGCTGGCAATAGCTATTAGGAGGTGCTGACTTCTTCAGAAGAGATATATGAAATACTGGGTGAACAGTACAGTCCTCAGGCAATTTCAGTTTGAATGCTACTGGATTAATCTTTTCAATGATCTCAAAAGACCCATAAAACCTAGGTCTTAGCTTCTGATTGATTCTTTTTGCTAAACTTTTGAGTTTATAGGGCTGTATCTTCAAGTAAACTTTATCCCCTGTTTCCAATTGTAGTTCTCTTCTGTGTTTACTGCTTGTTGCTTCATCCTGTTTTGAGCTAATGCTAGGTTCGCTTTTAGCTCCTCCAACATCAGGTTCCTTTCCGCAGTTAGCTTGGCCATCAAGGTAACATCTTCCTCTATCAAGGTTGGAGGATCTTGTCCATACAGGGTTTTGAAAGGAGTGTTTTTGATGGAACTCTGATAGTTTGTGTTGTACCAGTATTCAGCCCAAGATAACCACTTGGGCCACTGCTTTGGTTTCTGCTCAGTAGTGCATCTCAAATACGTCTCAATGCACCGGTGGACTACCTCCGTCTGGCCATCTGTTTGGGGGTGATAAGCTGTACGATATTTTAATTTAGTACTAGCCAGTTTAAACAATTCAGACCAAAATGCACTCAAGAAAATGCGATCTCTGTCAGACACCACTGTTTTTGGAAACTCATGCAGCCTGACTCTAGCACTATAAATGCTTCAGCTACTTCTTTAGCACTGTAAGGGTGACCAAGGGCAATGAAATGTGCAAATTTTGTCAACCAATTAACCACTATCAGCACTCTATCTTTCCTATAGGCCCTGGGTGGCTGGGTAATCCTCCAATAAAATCCATACTTATGTCTCCAGATATTGTCAGGTATAGGAAGTGGTTGAAGCAAGCCAGCAGGGTTCAAAGATTGATATTAATTTTGCTGGCAGATGTCACAACTCTGGACATAAGTCTGTATATCTCTCCGCATGCCTTCCCAGTATAACAAGTGAACGATCCTCTTCATTGTTCTAAATTGACCCGCATACCCCCTAATGGCTGAGTCATGAAGTTCTTTCAAAATCAGCTGTATTCGTGAAGAACTCCTGGGAATGACCAGTCTTCCTTTAAAGTATAACAAACCCCTTTTCAGTTTGAAATTTGTCTGGCCTTCTGGTTGTACTATTAATTTCTGTATGATGTCGTTGCACTTATCATATTTCAATATTTCTTCTTCCAACCCTTCCCAATCTTGACATTTCACTATGGATAAGGTCTGCAAACTCAGTTTTCTTGAGAGGGCGTCAGCAGCCTTATCTTTAACCCCCAGCTTATACTTGATGACAAAATTGTATCCTAGCAATTTGGTCACCCATTTCTGTTGGTCTCCCCCCATGATTCTCTGTTCTGTCAAAAACCTCAGGCTTTTCTGATCCATGTGTATTTCAAACCTTCTCCCTAGCAAATAGAATCTCCATTTCTATACAGCCAGAACAATGGCCATTAATTCCCTCTCGTACACAGATTTGTTCTGACTTCTAGGAGACAATTCTTTACTCATGTACGCAACTGGTCTCCCTTCTTGCATCATCACTGCTCCCACCCCCTTCCCAGAGGCATCTTTCTCCAGGACAAACATCTTGTTGAAATCTGGAGTAGCTAGAACAGGTATGGTAGTCATGGCTCTTAAATTCCTCAAATGCTTCAGTAGCAGACTGCTCCCATTTAAACCCATCTTTTTTCAGGAGGTTGGTAAGAGGTGATGCTATTCGGCTATATCCTCTTACAAACCGCCTATAGTAACCCGTGAGACCCAAAAAACCTCTGACGGATTTTATATCTTTTGGTGCAGGCCAATTTAGCATATCAGTTATCTTAGAAGGATCAGCTAATAATACTCCCTTCTCTGAAATAATATGGCCCAGATAAGATAACTCAAGTACTCAACTTGACCGAGACTGCATTTCTTTCTGTTAACAAGCAACTGATTCTCCTGTAGGGTTTGCAACACTTTGCTTACGGTTCCTTGTGAAGTTCCTCTGTAGGGAAGTATATTAATTTATCATCAAAGAACACGAGAACAAATTTCCTCAGAGATGGTTTTAAAATCTGATTCATAAGGGCCTGAAAAGTGGATGGAGCATTGGTAAGGCCAAAAGGCATGACCAAGTATTTTATAATGGCCCTCATGAGTCCGGATTGCCGTTTGGTGAATATCTTCTTCCTTCAATCGGATCTGGTGATAATCTGATTTCAGATCCAATTTAGAAAACACCCTGGCAGCTCCCAGCTCATCCAATAATTCCTCGATAACCGGTATGGGAAATTTGTCAGGTACAGTAACTTGATCGAGTGCTCTGTAATCCCCACAGAATCTCCAACCACCCGCTTTTTTCTCACCAACAAAACTGGGCTATTATATGGACTGGTACTGGGCCTAATGATGCTTGTACTCAACATTTCCTTGATGATGATTTCTATTTCATCTTTTTTGGTAGTAAGGGTACCTGTAAGGTCGTATATTAGGGATTGTAGCCCCCTTCTTAATGTTGATTGAGTGGTCACATTCCCTTCTAGGTGGCAGAGTTTGAGGGACTTGGAAGATTTCAGCAAACTCCTTCATTAGGTCTTCCCATACTCCTCCTGTGCTCTTCAATTCCTGTTCAACATCAGGTTGTAACTCACAAGTCACATAGTATCCCTGCCCTTGGTTTTGCAGACCCTTCATCATGGTTTTCCAAGAAGCTAATGTGTGGCTTAAAACAGGATCCCCTTGCAAACTTCTCCTAATTTTCCCTTTTTTTCACCTCAACGTTAATTCCTGGAAATTAAATTTGATATCTCCCAGTGATGCCAGCCATTCCAGCCCCAAAACTAAGTCAGTTCCTCCCAACTCCAATATATATAAATCCTGATTGATCAGTAACTCTTGCATTTTCATCTTCATGTTTTCACACATTCCATTGTTACTCACCTTTTCCCCATTTCCCAGCTCCACCTGGAATCCTCCAATCTGTCTGTAAGGTAGATCACATTCTGTGACCATTTTCTGGGAGATGAAATTATGTGTGGCCCCACTGTCTATTAAGATCACGACTGGTCTAGCAATTTCCCAGGATATTAATTGCCCTTGCAACTTGAAAGTTTTGTGAGTAGTGATCCCAGCCTTACTCATTACGGATAGCCTCACATTGTTATAGCCCAATGGTTGATCTTCCTCGTGATGCTCTTCTGGTGTAACTGCCTGCTCCTCTTCCTTTACCTGGTTCTCCCATAAGACAATCTGATAATGCCTGAGTTTGCACACATGTTCCTTGTTCCATTTATCCCCACACTTGAAACACAGTCCCTTCTTACTTCTGTCTTCTAGTTCAGCTGGGGATAACCTTGGGCCATGCCTTCCATTAGTAGGAATGACCACAGCATTCCCAATTTTATTGTCCGAGATGTTTCTATCTGTAATCTGTTTCCCAGTATTTGAGCTTCTCATCCTGGTCCCTTTTGTTCCTTTCAGAGGTTTCACCATAGTTCCACCTTTATCTTCCCATCCCTTTTTGTCATCTTCTTTGTATTTTCCTCCTCTCCATGCTTTGTTCCTTTCTTTCAACAGCAAAGCCTGATCCATGATTTCAGCCCATAGGATACAATTTGAGGTCAGCTCGCAATTCCTCCTCAAGTCCATTGAGAAAGGATTAACATTTCTCTGTGTCGCTACTACCATTTCAAATTCTTCTCTTTAATCCATCACATTACCTGTTTGTTTGACACTCAACAGAGGTCCGAACGGGTTCTGCACCAATTCCGGCTGAAACCGAAGGATCAAAGCTTCCTTAAACTCTTCCCAGCTGAGCTCAGTCGCTTGTTCCTCCCACCAATGGAACCAGTCCAGTGCTCGGCCTTCCATCGCCACCATGACAACTGGAACTCGGTCCTCATCAGTGATATTGTTCTGTTTAAAAAACCTTTCAGTCCTAATAATCCAACCATATGCTTCATCACCACTGAATACCGGTAAGTCTATCTTCCTACTGGTTTTCGATAACACCTTATTATCCAAATTCTCACGTCGAGGATTGAAATCCATTAGAATTACCTCCTGCAACTGAAGAGTTCTGATTCGCATCGTGCTCCCTCCGCCTTGGAGTTCGCGATCTCCCTCGCGAACGATGGTGATTCTGCTGCGTCACCAAGTTCCACATCTCATCCAGCTTCGCATCTGTTCTGCGATCCTGATTCAACATCCAGCTGTGCATCTCGTCAATGATGTTGCGCATGTCATGCACGTTATTCTCCACTGACTCCAGTCTGTGCTCCATCTGTCCTCTCGTCCAGGTCATTCACAATCTCCAGGAAGGAGCTCTGATATCAATGATAGAGAACTCAAGCAAGCAGTAGAAATCAGTAGTATATTGATGAAGGTTGCAGAAATACAGTAGCGGAAATAGAAGAAAGAGAAAGATACAGCGAGACACTTAGAGCAGTCCCCTCTCCCAAGTCTATCCCAAATTCTGCCTACCCTTCTCTCTCCTCCCTTTTCTTCATTATAGCTTTCCCGTACAAAGTTATTTATCTGCCAGAGTAGTTAGGATGTTTTTATTTGGACTGTTTTCAGTCCCACACCAGATCAAACCAGACTAGTCTTGCACAGTTATAAAATACACAAAGACTAGACATTTGCCAGACTAGACCAGAAAATTCTTGTCTAAGTAAAAACATCCTTATTCCCACTTTCCGCCTCTCCCCTTCTATTGACTCTTCTTTTGTACACTTTTTCAAAGTATTTAATATTAGTTTTTTTTATTTCCGCTTCTATAGTCCATGTCTCTATCAAAACATTTAATTAGTTGAAGAATAAACGAAAACTTCTGTTGATCATAACTCCAATTCTTGTATCGTTTCCTTTTGTAATTGGATAGGTCAATGAGTGCAGATGACCACAGTAGCGTCATTGCAGCATATCATAAGTTTTTAAGAGTAGCAAGTGAGTGCCTATCTCGCAGAGCAACTGATGTGAGTATAATTATGTAAAAGATTGATCTTTGTTCATCCAAGGACTGAAGCAACACCTGCAACATAGCATGTTTAAGTCCTATGCAACTGCTCAAATGAGTGAATGGTAGATCTGAAATGCTATAACGAAAATATTATATCTATTTTTCGTTACATGTATGTAGTTCTTTCTTTAGGCCAATTATTTACATGATGTTTTACAAGTGTATTGAAGTTTTTGACTGATGGAACAAGCTGAACAATATGTCTACACTTGTTGGGAATATATGATTGAGTTATTATTAATTTAATTGTTTGCATGTCTTGTTTTTCACAGAAACCCTTTGGTCTCCTTGCATGTGGAGTAGCTGCCATGTTCTTGTCCTCTATGATCTTTCTGGCGCTTCTGTTCTCTCTATTCGAAGAGAATTTAGTTGGGGAGAAAGGATCTTTCTTTTGTGCCAATGCTAGCTTGCGGGGGTGGTATTTTGATGAGATATTTAATTTGTTTATGGTCACAATGGTTGTTATTAGCATGGGATCGAGTTCAATGATAGAGGAAGAGCAATACATATGGCATTTTTTTACTGTGTCATTTCATTTGGTGGTCCTCCGTAAATTAGTGCAGACTTTTACTTCACAACCTATGCAAAATATGAATAATATAAGTACGGCTTCTAAGAGAAGACATCTTCAGATTTATTTGATTATTGTTGTTCTAGCTTCGGGAAGATTTTTGAGGGGGTGGCATCAAGGTGGTGTTAATTGGGTTTATCTTCCTGACATTGCAAAATGGCTTGCGCAAGCAGGAAATGCTTACATAAAGATGCTGCAGTTGGTTTCAGCTATCCTTATAATCAGCAGACACTTATTATCTGTAGTGTGGTTGAAATGGTCAAGTAGAAAATATGCGACTTTGGCTGTACTGATCCATTCATTCCCTGGATTGTTGGTTCTGCTGTATATTACCAAATACCAAGATGTTGCATTTACAGAATCCAATTATGCAGCTACTTCATTTACCCAGATAATATATGCGACACTGATTATTTATGTCGCTGGGACTGTGTTGTTTGCTCCATGGGTTATGCTTCCCCGAAACAGTTCTTTCTTGTCCAATGATCCTTCAGAATTTCAAAAGACTTTTCTAATTTTGGTTAGAGGTGCAAGCTATGTGGTTGGGTCTATTTATATATATTGTTGGTGTCTTCTACAGCTGGTGCTGCAGCAGCCTGTAAATACAGCAGCCTTTTTATTGATTCTGATCCAAATTTTGGGCAGCATTTGGTGCTTCGCTAATTCCGGTCATCTTTTTCGTGAATGGGTTGAGGTTAGTCATATTAGCCCATATTTTTACAACCTTTCATTATTCCTTGTTACTTCAATACACATTACCCTTTCTTGCAGATGAACAATTAGAATTCAACTTTTGTGTGTATATGCTCAAAAATAATCTAAATATTGGTTGGAAACAAGTGCAGTCTGCACTCTATACAGAGCTGTTATTTGTTAGATGATGTCACAATCCTCCATAGCTAAATAAGCTAACTGTTGAAAGGAGTGGAATAATAGCAACATCCAAGCCTTAGTCTCAATAGCATTTGGAGTCTGCTAACATGAATTGACATATGAAATCGGAGCTAAAAGACAAAAAAGATAAAAGAATAAGTCAATAAGGTAAAGATAAGATAAAGATAAAAAAGATAAGATAAAAAGGATAAAAAAGATGAGGTAAATCGATAAAAACATAAGGAACATAAGAAAGATAAAAAAGATAAAAAGATGAAATGAGATCAATACTCCACGAATGTTCTCTACATTTCGCTCTTTCAAAATTTATACTTTTATCCAATATAAAAAGTACCGTATCACTCTTGACTCCTCTAATCCACGTATGTTTGGATCTCCCCCCCCCCCCTTCCTCTCCGCTTCATCTTCCTACATCTCAACTCGTCTGACAGGTGTATCATTCGGTCTTCTACGCACATGACCATTCACTGTAGTCAAGGTTCTCACATCTTATTTTCAATAAGTGCTACTCTCACCTTTGTTTGATTGTTTCATTCCTCGAGCGACCATTTCTAGTATGTGTGCACATCCAGCATAACATGTACATATTAGCCACACCTATCTTTTGAATGTGACATTGTTTCACCGCCCAATCTTCTTATGTCATTCACTAATTGCAAGCCTAATTGTGTCTTTTCTAAGTCATACCCGCCCAACATTGTTTCACATGTACAGACCTTACCATACACCTTTTCTAAGTCAATGAACACCAAATTTAGATCTTTACTAGTGTCTATACTTCTCCACAAGTTGCTAAGAAGGTAAATGCCCTTAGTTGTTGAGCGACTAGACATAAAACAAAATTGATTGTCTGAATCTTCACACTTCTTTAAAGCCTTTAATCAATCACTATCTCTCTCTCAAAGTTTCATGGTATGACTTATAAGCTTAATCCCTCAATAGTTGGCACATTTTTTTACATCATCCTTATCCTTTTCCGCCAACTCGTTGACATTTTATTGTTTCTCCGAATTTTGTTCAAGATATGTGTCAAGTCTTCGACGTCTTTCTCTTTCAAAACACGTGGCCTCGATCGATATGCCACTTAGACCCATTACTTTCCTCCGCCCCAACTTTATCAGTGTCTTTAACTTCTTTTGATTGGGTCCTTTTCATAAGATCCCAATTTACCATACCATCCAGTATAGTAAGATCATCAATATCTTGCGCTTTATTTTTGTTGAACAAGGTATTAAAGTATGACCTCCACCTCTGTTTTATTTCCTAGTCCTCCATTAATATCCTTTGATCTACATCATTCACACATTTAACTTTTTTGATATCTTGAGTCCTACGATCATGAAGATGGCAAGTTTATAAATATTTTTTCCCTCTTCCTTGTAGCCAACTCATATGTCGAAATAAAATTCAAAATGTTCGTTCCCCCTTCACTTATAGTGTCAAAGTCATATCCGCTATGAATACTTTCAAATCATCACAACTCGAGCCCACATGCCCATTGAGGTCGCATCCTATGACCAAGTTCTCTATCCTTGACACTCGTCGTATCACTTTTTCAAGATCCTTCTCAAAATTGTTGAGTGGTGGATGCATCCAACCTCACTTGTGGTGCATATACACTTATCACAGACATGACCTCATCCTCTATCACCAATTTAATTCTCATAATGCGGTGGTTCTTCCTAAATACTTCCACCACATCATCAATATAGTCACGAAACATAATGTTGACTACTCTATTTCTGATCTTCTCTCTCCCCGAATATCACAATTTAAAAACTCTGTGATGAATCTCTCATTCTTTGTCTCCAACCCAGTTAGTTTCTTGCGCGCACATAATGGTATACTCCTTCTCTTCATAACTTGGGTTACCTAAGTCGATCTTCCTCTAAGAGATCCAACGTTCCATGTCCCAAAGCGCAATGTAGAACTCTACCTTATTTCTTATCACCACCTCGACCCCCACCATGCCCTTGACTAATTGACACCATCTTCGAGTATTGGAATGCCACGTCGCGCATTCAAGTGACGACCTAGCAACCTTAGCATACTTATCACCACACTCGTGCCTATGAAATATAGCGTGGTCTTACGTATTTGACATTACCTCTAGGCAGGAGATTATGCATCGCTCCCGGGCAATGACCTAGCTATAATGATATTCATATTTTGATTCATGTGACGTGATGTGACTAAGTTATATTGGTAGTCGTCATGCCCCTACCAAAACACTCTTTTATCCTCCTTAAATAGATCAAAAGAGTGGAAAACAAAATAAAAATAAAAATAGATCATAGTAGGGTCTAGGGGTGGGCATGGGTCGGGACGGTTCGGGATTAGGGTTATCCCGGTCCCGTCCCAATTAATAATAACAAGACGGGACGGTACGGGACAAGCCTTTGTCCTAGTCTTGTCCCATTTAAATCGGGACCGGGATGGTTCGGAGCGGTTCGGGACGGTTCGAGACGTCCCAAACTAACAAAAAATAATCATTTGTAATTAATATATATTAGCATTTCTAAAGTATCATGCACCAAAATATTAACATTTTAAAAGTTAATTGATGTTCATCACAAACTAAAAGCTACTACGTATTAAATTTTAGTTAGGTTTAGCAAAATTTGAAATTTAAATTTAAAACAAAGCAAAAATGAATTAGTTTATTCAAAATCATGTGTTCTAGCTGTGAGATACTCATATGTAGATATATAAAGTGGGATAAAAATCTATGTTAGTAAATATTCATGTTAGGTACTCCCTCCGTCCCAATATAAAAGGCACATTTGCGTTTGGGGAGTTTTAAGGGTGAACACTGTTTGAACACTGTTTGACACTGTTTAGACACTGTTTGGCACTGTTTGGACACTGTTTTGCACTGTTTTGCACTGTTTTGTTTGCCAAAAAGGGAAATGTGCCTTTTATATTGGGACGGACCGAAAAGGAAAGTGTGCTTTTTATATTGGGACGGAGGGAGTATTATTTTTAATTTAAAAATTGGGCTTGAAGAACTAAAAACATGTTACCATTTATTTTTTGAGTTGACATTACACACTAGTCACATGCTACAAAATCTATATAGTTAATACAAACGGGACAACGGGACGGTTCGGGATAACCTTCCAATGTCCCGGTCCCGTCCCGTTTTAAACCGGTACGGGACCGGTGCGGGACAAAATCAATGAGACCCAAACGGAACGGGACAACACCGGTACGGTTTTGGGATATACCGGAATGGGACAATGGGACCGGGATTCTTGCCCGCCCCTAGTAGGGTCTAAGGGATGGACTATGTGTAAATAGTTTGATCCTCCTTAAAATGTAGAAAATCTTTACATATCCCTTCTAAGTGATTTGGAATGGACTAAATTGTGAAAGTATATGTGTAATATGGAGTAGAATATTGGATTTTTAGTTTTAAGCATGGGAGCTGCATCAGAGAAGGTCATGATCCTTTGGAGTGGGAAGCTTTCAGGGATAAAAAAGAGAATGCAGAACAACTTTTATTTGCTGTATACGTCTTCTTCTGGAAATTAGGAGTTCTTAGGGTGTGCTATCTTTTTTATAGAATTATGGTGATGATTTAATAACGGGAGTTTTAGTATCTGAGTCATAACTGCAGGAAGTGCTTAAAGTATGTAAATTTGTTTGTTTTTCAGGTTTCTGCACTCTATTATGTGGGTATGGCAGGTCACTTTGGTCTTGGTAACACCAACACTCTTGCCACCATTGACGTGGCTGGTGCTTTTATAGTACGTGACATCTAAGTTATTAGGGTTTTTCTGCAATTGTTCTTGTGATATGTTTTGTGGACTTAAAAGTGAATGCATAATTTGATGGGGATATATTTTGTTTTAAATATTTCCAGGGTGTGTCGAATCATTCTACATTACTTTCTGGTATCTTAATGTTTGTGATCACATACGCTTCCCCAGTTTTATCTATGCTTAGTATGGTGGTGTACATTGCTATGAAGGACACTGTTGTGAGAAAGTCGCAGGAACACGCGTTTGGACATCTGGTCAAGATGCTAATTGGTTTTCCTTGTCTGGTTCCTTTGGGCTTGAATTCCATTCTTTTGATTGCTTATACAATTGTATTGCTTCTAATGAGGAACCATTTATTCGTTTGGAGTGTCTTTTCTCCAAAGTCAGTATTCCCCTCTCTCCCCCTTAATATGTCACAAATTTAAAATTTTACTTATCAACTTCTGGTTCTTAATAACATTACGTCCCATTTTTATTTCCGATAAATCTTCATTGATTTTCTGTAGATTACTAACTATTCTAGTTTTTTAACTTAACTGTCTTGTATAATTAGTATACTTTTATAGTTTTATCTTTTAATCATATACTAATCTGCTGCTGCACTCCAGGTACCTATATGTTTGTGCAACAACGGCTTCCCTATGTTTTAGTGCGACTATTGTAGCATTGACTGTAGCATACATATCCATGGTCGTGTTTCGACACGTGCAAGACCAGCAGTTCAAGAAGGATATGTCATCCCATTAAATGCTATATTTCGCTGCCTAGCATTTACCTGGAGAGTTCTATTGCTTGAGCTCAAGATATTTGTGATGTTGACTAATTCCGGTGTGCTCATTTCTCAATTTGTGGTGGGAGAACAGAATTGTGTCTTGCAAGTTGTGTGGTGATTGCTACTTTTCAGGGTGTGGGAAAATTCATAACCAATGTGGATCTAAACTACAACATTAGAATACTATAGCATATATACTTTTCAGGTTGTGGGAAAATTGATTTTACCGAAACACGATTGTCAACATAGTTTTGATGGGATCACATGCACAATTGTTGGTATGATCGCATTCGCCATGTGTAGTTGTTCCATGTTTTAGTTCATGTACATGCATATTCAATGATTGTAAGTCTTCATTTAACTGCACCAAAATGCAAAAAAAACACTCGACGATCATGTATAACCATGGACATCGGATGACTGCAAAAATAATGAGGCCAGGGATTAGGACCTATCTTTCTGGTTCAAGTACCCACTGACAGTCCCATATAGGGATGGACTTGGTCCGGTCTCGGTCCCCCACAATTAAGCCCAGAACGAATCTGGAACTTTCGGGGTCCCGGTGCGGTCCTGAGCCGGTTCGGGTCCTATTTGATTTTCTTAACAAATAAAAAATGCTACACACTAAAAAAATGAAATGTATATTTATTTTAAGGGTTATGTTAATTTCTTGTTTTTTACGGTGGATCTTCAACCAATCATGGAAGCAAATGAGCATCTCAAAAGATGAAGTGCTCGACCTACTTCTAAGCAAGATGTTGCAACTTTGCTAAATTCTTGTTCCATAGGCTATAGCCACGGTTGAAACTGACATTGACAACACTTTTTTTGTCTTTTTTGATAAAATAAGGAACATCCCTTTGTGGGTCTTCCACCATTGGAGAATGTCAATGTTGCCCCCTTCATTACACTTAACAGGAAACATTAGATATAAAGAAAGTTTGTTAATCGATCTTTATGCAACGACATGAGTAAATTTATATATGTATATTTCGTAAATAGTATATAGTATGTAGACAAATCTTCATGTTAGGCTGGCCTGACGGGATGCTCCGTCCGGCCAAGGGCATTTCGGGCACTTCCCGGTGAAATTTTTTGATGAAATTTTTTGAGCATGTTCTTCATGAAGTCTAGTTTATCCATACCAAAGTTCAGCTAAAATTTCAATCGGGAAGGTAATCAAATAATTTCTTGAAGTTAACTGGGCAGTTCATACATATAAACTGCCCAGTTAACTTCAAGAAATTATTTGAGTGTCTTCCTGATTGAATTTTTAGCTGAAATTTGGTATGGATAAACTAGACTTCATGAAGAACATGCTAAAAAAAATTCATCAAAAAATTCCACTGGGAAGTGCCCGGAATGCCCTCGGCCGGACGGAGCATCCCGTTAGGCCGGCCTGACATGAAGACTACTCATAGTATGTATATATACGTCTATAGCATATATATGTGTCGAGCTTGATCTCACTAAGGAGATGCCTCAAAAGGTTTGATCAATTGTGGGTTTTCTAAGCCTGTAATCTATGAAAATAGGTCGGATACTGCTCAGCTTGCCTTCACCTAGGTCATTCTCATGTTAAATGTCCTAAAAGGCATATTGAGCAATCTACGAGAGTCCATCTACATAAAGACAGATAGGTACACAAGCAAATTGCGAAATATACACGGGAGGAAAAAGGGAAAGACAAGATTACAGACATTATAGATAGAAATAAATAGTCTACTTCTAAAGTTATCTTGTAAGAGATTCTCTCAGACAATGAGACAAGACAATGAGACAACTGTGGAAGAAGTGTTCCTTAAAAAACTTTGGATGAAGTCCGAATGGTGTGTTCCTTGATTCCATGGAGTGTTGTGTAACACCTTGAAACTGGACTAGCTGCAACCGGGTTTGATTTATTTTTTGTAAAACTTTGGATTAACCCGTTTTCTTCTCTATTAGTTGGTTATATATCAATGTAACCATAAATAAACAAGAAACACCCTTAAATGATTGGTATAGAAAAGAAAATGAAGGATAGTTTGAGTTAGATGTCATAGGTTGGAATCCTTTCTTGATCCTTTCTTTTTGCTTCTTCTTGGACTAACCCAAGGTTTCCCAGATAAGATTTAGAGCTCACAAACCCCTCATCTCCCTTTACTAAATTTGGACTTTTTATCACCATTATGAAGAGATGAAGAGATTAAAGTCTCTCAACCTTTCACATGCCATAACCTCCTATATTTAAGTGTGCATCACCTTCTTTCATCCTTTCTATTCATCTATTCTCCCTTTACCCTTACCACAACCTAAGTCTTAGAGAGACAATAGAGGAGGTGTTCCATTGAGGAAAAATAAGATCGTGAGGCTTTGGAACTCGTGTATCATCCACTAGTACTCGAGGTCACACGATCTCATATGCTCGGTCAAATCTTTTACTGTGTGTTTATTTTGCTATGTATGTGTTTATATATATATATATATATATATATATATATATATATATATATATATATATATATATATATATATATATATATATATATATATATCCGAAATATATATGATACATACATGTATATTTAAGTAGTATATGATGTTAAAATTTTAATTTCCATCTATGTTAATCATTGATAAAATAAAATAAAATAAAATATGATTCAAAGTATGAAAAATGTCAATGCTTAATTGCTTACACTTTGTGTCTTACCTTTGTTTGAAATGTTTGATGCTACATTAGTAATTTCTTCAATCACTTTGTACTATGAAATTTAGTTTTTATAACCATCTAAAAATATTTCTCTAAGACATTTTATATCATTGACCATGTTTGACACAAATTTCATCTCAGAACAAAAACTATATACGTCAATACTTTTCATGCTATTTGGTGTTCTTAAATATATGTTTAGAACCCTGATTGATCTTTGATTTTTAAACATTAGAATTAGAATGATTCGTTCTAATACCAATCATCACATGATATGACTGATTTTCTTGTTATTATATGTCATCATTCTTGTGATATTGTCTTGGATGATAAATTGATAACCCACAAAAATTATTCTCCCCCGTCCCAAATTGTTTTGCAAAGTCAACATTTTTTTATCAACCAATTATAAAAGTCAGACCTCTTTATCGATAATTAACTCAATTTTGAATAATTAAAATTTACATATTCAGAAACTACATTAAATTTACTTTAAACTTGCAAACTTCAAATTAGAATATAATAAAAAATTAGCATCCTAATTAAGCAAATAAAATGAAACTGTTTGACCAAGAAAAGTTAAATTTGCAAATCAATTTGGGACGGAGGTAGTACTTGATAATCTATGTAAGTATGTCATCATTCTATGTTATTATTTAATGTTGAAACACCATTTAGAATCCACAATTAACTATTGATGTAAAACCATATGTTTTAAGTTAGCATAGCAAATGAATGACTATTGTGGATGTTAGGTCTATTTCATTCTTCATGATTTAGAACACTCTCTGGCGGTGTTAATTCAGTGACTGTCACTAACTCGTCCACATCCAGTGACCACCGCCAAATCTCTACTATATCGACCACCGCCGGACATCTACTAGATTGTTCAGTGAACACCGCCGGACCTCTACAATATCATTCAGTGACCACCTCCAGACCTATAATAGTGACTGTCATTCAGTTACCACTGCTGGCCTTTACAATGACTATGTTATTCAGTGACCACCCGGCCCCTGCCCAAGCCCTGGTCCTCCCCTCCCCTATCGCTGAACCAGCCCACCTAACCAACTGCCACACCCCATCCCACAACCATGGCTGTCCCAATTTAGCCACACCGCCGCACCCCTATCTCACAGTCATATGCGGCGGCGCTCAAATAGAAGAAAAGGAGAAGAGAAAAGCGGTGGCGTTTCTTTCCCAACTTCAACTGCCCCCTCGACGACGTTCTACAACCCTAGCCGCATGCACCGCCGTCTCCACAAATCCTAATCGATAGATGAAGAAGGGGATCGCCGGGATTGGCAGCGAAGATTAAGTTGAAAAGGGAAGAATCTCGGTGTGATGGAGACGTGAGTGATCCGGCGGCGATGGATAGGCAACAGAGATGGAGACGATCAACGCGGCGGAGATGGCATCAAGGAGACGAACACATCGGAAATGAGGAATGAGGATATAGAGCATTTGGGAATTAGGGTCTAGTAGGTACGGGAATGTTGTAATGAGAACAGGATGGGCGGTGGAGTGAAATGCATCTTTAATTAATTAGTCATATTTTAGGGAAAGGAAAAAGAAGTCATATTTTAGGAAATACAAAGGTCATTAGTAATATTGAGGCCATTTTTTCTACTTTATTTTTGCAAATATACTTGTGATATAAAAAATATAAATTTTTGTATTGATAACTATCTGTAAAAAAAAAATTAACCATGCTAAATAAACCATGATTTTTGTGTCATTTAAGTTAATCGAATCATCTTTAAGGACATTGCAAACAAGTTTCATTTTGGGGTTAAATTATCAATGATTTCTTATGAACTACACCTCGATTAATTAATGCAAAGTAGTTGGGATTAGGATACTTTCAAAGTAGTTGAAGCAAATCACGTGCGAGCCCATCAGCACAACTGAGGAACAAATACATTTAGAGGAGCACACATGACAGATGCGATCATACCAGCACTAATGCACCGAATCCCATCAGCACTCCGAGGTTAAGCGTGCTTGGTCGGGAGTAGAACTAAGATAGGTGACCCCCACCGCTTTTTGGCAAAATTCCGCTGTCTAGGGCCCCTTTTGACGTTTCTTTATCGACGGCCCCCAAAAATAGAAGATCGACTTGCATTTTCCTTATTTATCAGCTATGGGGGAGATTATGGCTCGTGGTTGGAGCAAATCACGCGCAGGCCCATTAGCACAAGTGAGGAACAAATACATTTAGAGGAGCACATGTGACGGATGCGATCATACCACCACTAATGCATCAGACCCCATAAGAACTCCGAAGTTAATGGTGCTTGGGCAAGGTATTACTAGGATGACTGAACCATTGGGAAGTCCTCGTGTTGCATATCTTGTCCCCCCCCCCCCCTTGTTTTTCACTGTGTCGTTGTCGTGCACTGTTCTCACGCGCGCGGATGAAGATGTTCACCAGGGTGAGGAGTGACGCTATCTGACACAATTTAGGCATTCTGAGCGCAATCCATGGCTTTGTCAAGACCCCCACTGCTTTTTGGCTAAATTCTGCTGCCTGGGCCCCCGTTGTGACGTCTTTATTAACATGCCCTCGAAAATCGGAGATCGACTTGCGTTTTTCTTTTTTATCAGCTCTGGAGGAGATTATAGCTCGTGATTGGAGAAAATCACGCG